AAAGCTGCGCATTTTTCATAAGACATGAGGATAATTTGAAAAATGCTAATTTTTTATGCAAATTATTAAATTGATAGTATCTCGGAAACTAATCAACGAAATTTTAAAAATCGAGCACTGCTGTTTAGAGGAATAATATGTCTTTAAAATTTAATACAAATCAACTCTTATTGCGATTTAAAAAAATTTAGGGGGTAGCTACCCTATGTAAGGGATGCATGTAATTTGGTTCATTAGAATGTAGAAATGTATCTATCTTGAAAACAAAATTGACCTGTCTCAGGAATTTTGCAAGAAACATTCTGCTACAATTCTACTAAATTTATTCCAGTTAAAGGTACCACAGTGTATATATATAAAGGTGATACCGAAACAATCATTATTATTTTTGACATTTTTTGTGTAATGCGTCGCTTTTGTAGTATTGGTTCAGGTTGGCGATATAAATGAACTCAATTCTAGAATATGGAAAGCCTTGTTTATGTCTCTTCTTTGACCCAAGCAAGGCCTTCAATACTGTGGACCACTCTATATTAGTACAAACATTAGAAAGGAAAGACATTCNTACTGCGAGTTATTAAATCATTACCCAGAAACATCTGAAATTACAAGTGGCATTGTGAAATGAATTAGAATTGTAATTTGAGTTCTCTTCTGGAAAATAAATGAATTTCTAGATTTGATTCATTATCAACAACCCATATATAGATATAAAGGTGATACCGAAACAATCATTGTTATTTTTGACATTTTTTGTGTAATGCGTCGCTTTTGTTTGAAGGTGAAAGATGTTATTTGTGGGCGATTGATTTATTGTTACACAGACGTAAAGGAAAAACAAGAATTGGTTCAGGTTGGCGATATAAATGAACTCAATTCAACTAAATAGTTGAAAGCCCTAGAATATGGAAAGCCTTGTTTATGTCTCTTCTTTGACCCAAGCAAGGCCTTCGATACTGTGGACCACTCTATATTAGTACAAACATTAGAAAGGAAAAGTCTTACCCTATAATTTTTTGAACAATGATGGAGTATATCTCTGTCTACGGGCCGCCTTCAGTATTTCACCAAAATTGGAGGAAGTCAGTCTATGTTTTCTACTGATGAGCCATGCTTGGTTGTCAGTTTGTCCCTCTGTTTTCTGAGCAACTTCCAGAATTTTATTCTCTTCAATGGCTAGCATGCTCTGAAAAAGCCCAGTTTATTTTGGCTTCTCTGATAATCTGCTGATTGTAAAAGCTCCTCTATGTCTACAGTCAATGTTTCTGCTTCAATGTTTGGGTCTTCCTGCATAAGGCACAATAAACCACAACTGCTGTTCACTGCTTCTAAATTTTTTTTGGATCAAATAAATTCTCAGTTGTTATTTCATTTGGTTCTTCGATTTCTGTTGTTCGAGGAACCCACATACACGCCACATCAGTTCTTGAAATATTGGAGAACGCATGTAATAGCACACAAGCCATATGATGGCATACAAATTGTCCTCAGCGACAGGTGCAGGTACAGGCTTTCAATTTCATAATTAAACTTCAGTAACACCTGTAAATACAATAATTCAATAAACAATAGCACTTTCCAAAGTTGAGTGGAATAGATATAGGCACATAGTTCATGTTATTACTGAATCCAATTCAGTTGAAAGTTGTCACACAGTCATATTTTTGTAGACATAATCTAAACTTTTTTCTGTTTGCAACTAAGCAACTACTTTCAATATATTCTAGTACCATTGTTTGAACCAGAACAAACCTAATAGGTGAATACCTACATAAAATTGCCATAAATATGCTTCCGAACTCACTCAATAAATAATTAAATTGTCTTGATTAGAATAAATTATTGGTTATGAATAAAAACTCACCTGGATATCATAGCTCTTGTCACTCATGCTTGCTTTCACTTTTCCCTTAATGATTTTCAATCCTGCATCAAAATTGCACATTTCTAAATGTCCAGATGAAAGATTGTTCACCTCTCTGTATGCATTTCAAATCGTCACGAAAATAATCATTGATTGCAGATAATTTTATAATATTTGACATTGTTACTTCAGATTACAAAGAGATTATTATTACTGGAATAGAAGCTTGTCTGAGTTTAGTTTGGAATATGAAGCTTCCTTAAGATTACTATGAATTTATATTGATAACTGAATAGAATGGATGAACGTTGATTAAGTTTTCGGTTAGTAGTGGAGTGGGAGCGGAATTTGTTGACAGCTGTGACGTTACGTTTACCTGAATTGATCTGCGACAATAGAAAATTTATTGAACATCACTAGTTTCATTTCATTATAAAGGTATCTAGCTCAAGATGTTTAAGAGCTAACATTCATTATGTACTTGTGTAGTTCCATATTGAATTCAAACCTCCATAAGGTCCCCATGTAAAATTTTTTGAAGTTGGACCTCGCGCCAAAAGTAAAACCCTAACCTAACTAATATGGTCTATATTTGAATGTCTATCGTGGAGTTCTCCGGCAGGCATTGATCAGATCCTACAGTGTAGGAACGATAGAGGATAGTAAAATGTAGAGAAATTTCATTTCAAATAGATATTCATTTTCTTGATTATTTTTGGAGTTCGTTTGAAAATAACATTTAGCGTTGTTGGAAATGAACGGATGATGATTAATCAATAACCCTCCATTTGCCCGATAACCATTATCGTTTAATTCGTTCGGAAAATGAACCAATTACCACTCGATATTAAAATGTTCTCTGGATTGATATTTATTGGTACTAAACGTGTTATTATCCGACCAAATATTCCATCAAACCAACTTTTCATAAAATCCTCGATGAAATAGCTCCATCCTTGCTCGATTTTATAGGTATATTCTTCATCATAGCTTTACTGAAAACAATAGTGCTTCGTGAAAATTCAATTTTACGATAACGTACCAGTGATTCAAAGTTTGATATGAAAAGCGACCGGCCGGCACAAAGTGTGAATTAAAATCAGTTCGTTTTTATGTGAGGGTCCACGCGTGAAATTGGAAATATGACCGAAATTTCATCAAGGAAAATTGACTTTGGAAAACATTGATAATTGTGTTATGAAAGTGGTGCTCATTAAATGGACATATTTGCCGAGAGAAGTTCATTCACAAATGGAAAATGTGTGTCTCGTTCATAGGGTAGAGTTATGTAGTCTGGGTCACAAGATCCAATTTTTGGAACTTCTGTCCAAGGGCTCCGAAAATTATGATCCAGGGCTCATTCGATTCGGAATGACATCTTGCAACTTTTTGCAGCGCTAAAAGTGGGCGATACGCGTCACGCACGCGCTGACCGATACGGACCTTTCAACAATAAAATTATTTCAACCCATTAAATATCATTATTGAGAAAATCAATCACATACCTTCTAGACACTTCTATAAATGAAAATCCGAATTTTACCGTGATTATTTTATTAGATATACTTTAGTTAATCAACTAATTTTCACAAGTTTTGAATTTACATAAAAACCCTGATAATTTTTTAACTAAAAACCTCTAATTTTTTTTACTTCTTGGAACTTTTTTCGAAAGCCTTCAAAAAAGATTTCCGTTGGAAGAANTTATTCGAGCCCCTCTTGAAATTTTTCAAAAAGTTGCTAGAGGTCATTCCGACTCGAATGAGCCGTGGATAATAATTTTCGGTGCCCTTGGACAGAAGTTCCAAAAAATGTACGACAAGATCAGAGTCTGTTATAGTTTATAATTGCAGTTTTTTGAAGAAATCAAAATTCAATTAAATTAATGCATTTCTCACAATATAGGGTTGACATACAACGATACAACCTGTATTCAGTTATACGTAGAAATGATTCACGGTATAAATAGACAGAGCAGGATGATCCTCGATCAAACCAAAGCGAAGATCATTTTCTCAAGAAGTCGGGCTGATCATAGAACGAGGAGTAAGGTCCACGAGTTTAAGAGAAAATACCGATTTATAAAAACGCAGAGATATAAATTGGAAACATATTCCTAGAACAGGGGGACAAGGTAGTATTAAAATAACCCTAGATGAACAAGAAAAGTCATTCCAAATTATATAGGAGATGGAAAGCCCACTACTTGGTCACCAACAATATAAATAATTTGGTTTGAAATGTACAGTTGAATTCGAGAATCAGACCATTTCTCCGCTGAGAAATTTTTCTCCTTCAACAATGATAACGATGCTCTCTAGTGGATACGCCAGAATCAAGTAGACGGGTTATCCGGGACGAAGTAACACGAAGAGAGGAGTAATATGTTCTACCATGTTGTACAATTGTGCAAGACGGGGAGATCAGTGTGTTGTATTTTTTTGGTGTTGTGCCTCTTTCGGAAAAGAACCCCTCAATGTTGTACCATTTCAAATCTGTTCGAAGACATGCAGAAATTCAAATCAGTTCGTTTCCAAGGCCAATATAAATTGTGAATTGCAGAACAATATTTTGTTAGACGACAGTCTCGCAACAGTTGATATATGGCTTCCGTGTTTTGAAAGGAGAACTTATTAATACCTCACTCTGTACTCGCTTTGGCGGTTTATATACTCAAATGGAAACAATACAGAGAAGATTAACATGTTCTCTGCGCACGGATGACACGCAAAATTATAAAATGTTTTACATTTTGCCAAGGCTCGCGGAAAATAATATTTTAATGCTAGTCTGGCTTTGCAATTTCCAGAAAAACGTTTTAAAAGTGTTGTGAACTGTCAGAGTGAATTATTTAACTAGATGGTCACGTAAAGTTGCTGGCTGAATAATGTTTACGCCGATTGGAGGTTGGATTGAAGACGGATTCCCGCATCATTCATTCCGAGAAAAGCAAGACAGCAAACCCTTGGTATAGGTCTACGCCGGTTAAAGGCCAGGTTAAGTACGGATTTCCACATCTAACAAGAAACGCAGGATTGAAAACTTGCAAAAAAATATAACCAAAAGTAGAAGGGTACGGGGGACGAATCCATTTATCTCTACCTCCCAGTTGGGTAGGAATATGACGAGTTCGAAGCCCCCAACTAACCTTCTAGTCTAACCTGATGATTCATATTGTTCTCATATCTAGTTAAATGCTGAAAATATCTTAATTACTAATCTAGACTTTCTATGCTTTCGTAAAACTCTTACGATAATTTCGGAAAATTTGTAAATATAATAATTTTTGAGAATTGACTCATGCGCAATAGCACAACTATTCAGAGTTTTCTTGTTCGAAACACAAGAATTTATTTATTGAAATTCAAACATGCGCATTGTATTTGATCTCCCCTCTTTAGTAACTGAGCACAATGTACTGAGTGGGCCAAATAGGACACTTTTAAAAGAAAACTTCTGTTTTCAAACTAGATACAGTGTGACCCATTTAAAATGGATCCACCCCTGTAGAATGTGCATTTTTCAATCAATCTCAATTTTTTTTTATTGAAATATTAAGCATGAAAAACTGTATCTTGACACTAACNATTATCTACCGAGGCTTTGGCTGAATCTTGGTGGCACTCTAGTACTAGCCCTGAGCTAACACGTTGTCTGTTCAAGGCTAATAGGGCTCGTCTGCTGTCAGTGCAGATTGTTATGTTTTCGCCAGAAATTCCTTTCCTGGTTATTTCTTTTGTGGCGATTGAGATACCAGCTAGTTCTGTTTGGACCACGCTGGTATTTTTCCCCATTTCCCATTTAATTCTTTGGCTTAGTGATCTGGAGTTCACTCCACATCCTGAGCCTTCTTTGGTTTTTGAGCCGTCTGTATATATGCGTATTGCATTTGTAGCATCTGACTCTGTATTCTGTTTTATTTGTATTTTGTAGGGTTTATTGAACACAAACCTGGGTTTAATTGCATCACTGGTTGTCTGCAGCAGAGGTTGCGCAATAAGCGCTTCTCGCCATAGGCTCAGCCTCAATTGACGCATTCCTACTTCGAGGTTTATACCAGCCGTGCGCAATCGTAACATGGCCATTAACGCAACCTCCTTAACGCCAGACTCCTCCGCATGGCTTTTTGCCAATGGTTCCTGGAAAGTTATAATCAAGTTCGTGATTTTCCGTTGAATTGTATTTAGATAGATGAAGCTCATGTGAGCAGTGCCGGCATTTTCGACCGCTACAATTCTTTCACCTGGTCATAACAAAATCCTCATTTCATTGTGGAGCAGAGCAGTCAAGGAAGATTTGCATTAATTGTGTGGGCATGTTTTCAGGGGAAGAATAATCGGCCCGTTCTTTCTTAATGGCACTCTCACATCTCAGAAATTTCAAGGCGAAATATTGAAACCGTTGTTGATGAATTGCCACTAATGGAGCTCAGGAAAATTTGATTTCAACAAGTCACGGCTTTGCCTCACTACTGTGATCATCACCAATTTTTTGACTTCAAATTTCAGTAATAATTGTTTAGACAAACAAGGACCCAACTGACTTGCCAGGTCACCGGACTTAACGCCTATGGACTTTTACCTCTGGAGGAGGTTGAAAGACCTTATTTTTAAATTGTCGACCAATTCTAGATCAGAATTGGATATGGAATATATTTCATTTTTTGTTCTTTATAATTATTATCATTATTGTTGGAGTTTCATTCATTAGTGGTGAACATAGTATGGATTGTTGTCAGTTTTATTGAAACTATGCGTTTCAATTACTGCTGTGAAAAAATTAGTCAACATTTAATAACTACTACCGAACAATTTCTTTCTAGTTTATCGCCACGTCGCCGATACTTGATTGAAGTGTGTGTTTCAAAGTCTATATGTAAAAACCTGAAATCTCTGTATTTCAAAGATAACTCAAGCAAAACATCAAGTGTGCTACATTTTTTAAGAGGTTATTCTAAGCTCTATTGGAATATGCAGGAATAGTTTTCCATCAATAACTATTGATATTTCATCTGAAAAAAAAAAGTTTTTTACACCATTGAATTCTACGTGAAAAGTGTTTCGGAAATATTTTTATAGAAACAAAAAAGTTTTTATAGGAAAAAGTTACATCAACTTTTTGAAAATGCACATTATCGAATAGCATGCTGTAACTCAGAAACGATGATAGATTTCGATATGAGATTTTCACCAGTAAGTTTGTCACGAAATTTGACCCTCAGACACAGCCATCGGTTTGTATCTATATAGTTTGAAAACAGGAGTTTTCCTTTAAATGTGTCCAATTGGCCCACTCAATAATCTTTCTAAAACAGCAACATTGGAAATCGATGATCTTTGCGTTCACCGCTAGCGTACTGCGAGTTATTAAATCATTACCCAGAAACATCTGAAATTACAAGTGGCATTGTGAAATGAATTAGAATTGTAATTTAAGTTCTCTTCTGGAAAATAAATGAATTTCTAGATTTGATTCATTATCAACAACCCATATATAGATATAAAGGTGATACCGAAACAATCATTGTTATTTTTGACATTTTTTGTGTAATGCGTCGCTTTTGTTTGAAGGTGAAAGATGTTATTTGTGGGCGATTGATTTATTGTTACACAGACGTAAAGGAAAAACAAGAATTGGTTCAGGTTGGCGATATAAATGAACTCAATTCAACTAAATAGTTGAAAGCCCTAGAATATGGAAAGCCTTGTTTATGTCTCTTCTTTGACCCAAGCAAGGCNGACAAGAGTAAAGTAGTCTTATTTTGAAAAATCTCTGGAAATGTTATCCAAAAAAAGTTGTTCAGCATTAAAAAATACATCTAGATTTGAAGTCATGGCCATCTAAGTGAAGTTTTATTTTTTTACCCATTTTTTTAATGGGGACTACGAAAAATTTTGCTAAAACGATAATAGACAGCATCCTGCATACGACGGTTTATCTCAAAAGCCTGCAATATTACAAATTGCACAACTATGGTGTTAGCCACGGTCAATTTTTTTGAAGAGTAAAACAAATTTCAAAGTATTTGGTGCAGAGCTATTTTTATTTTTTGTTAACACAGAAAATTACTTAAAATTATACTGTATTGTGACAAGAACTTAATATTCAATAATATCAAATCACAAAACATCGAAATAAAATAAGTATTTCGAAACAAACTCATTGATTTTCTGGAGATTATTTTGTTGATGCATGTTTAGTTTTAGGGGATGTACAAACTTTTATCAGGAATAACTTTTTGTCGAAAAACCCTTAAGTTTCCCATATGGTGCATACTTTGGGGATGACACTGTACAAGACGGCAAACAACTTTCAAATATGAGTGAATTATTTTTTGAGTATAGACCACTATTTGCATTTATTTCACTTCTGCTAACACGGTAAACGTATTGATTGTTAAGTTCTGACCTTCTTTAGGGATACTCCATATTCATGGCTCGATGTGTCATATTTACCCAATAACTTGCTGCTGACTAATAATTCGCATCAGAAATGGTTCATGATAGATTTCAATTCAATTGCAGAATCGAGTGGCATCTATTGATGGAGCCATTGTATCAGTTAAAATGTATCCATGCCCTAAATGAGTTCATCGTGAATACTAAATTCATAGTGACACCCTGAAGTGGTATGCAGTGTTTATACTGAAGAACTGAGTTTGAAGCTTCTTTAATTTTCAGGGTGGATGATAATCATTTATATAGCTGACATTTGTTAATGTACTTTTCACAAGTGATGGTTTTCTTAATAACAGTTTCGTTACAAAATTATCTGCGTCATGGACCCTCATTAATAGTTTGGATTCATTTTTGGGTATTACCTTTTTTTTGGTATTTCCGACTACTATTAGTAAGTAGAGTTAAATATGAAATTTAATTATTAAACTCTGCCACTTTCATGTGTTGGAGATCATCAAGAAACGATTATTGTTTCTTAACTGCCCGTGGTTGAATCGTGTAAAAAAAATTACTGCAAAAATGTTCGATATTGTATGTGTGTTCGGAATGGTTTCCGCGGTCATCAATCTGATAATCTGAAGTTCGGGTTGAAACGCGTCTGATGTTTTGAGTAATTCAACTTTGAAGCAATTTTCAAGGTCTCAGTCTGACTACTCCTCTGTTAGTAACAGCTGTAAGGATTTTGTGACCTAACACCGAGGTCTCAATCTGCCTATTTCCCAGGTCTCGTCGGTGGTTTCTGTAANTCGGTATGATAATGAAGATGGATAAAGTATTCGAAACATCAACAGATAAGTATACAAATGAAATAGATTTCTGCGGTTAGAAATTTGAACATCTGATTTCGAGTTGAACCGCGTTCAAAATTTTGCGTTGTTCAACGTTTCGGCTTCGACTTTGATATTTTCAGGAAGTAGAAAAGTGTGGCTGCACTGAGATATACACTTTATATATTCTTGTTGGTTTGGAAATGAAATGTCATATTCCTTATTGGATTTTATAATTGATTCAGGAACAATTTTATAGATTTAATCTGAAAAAAGTCTACAGGGATTCGTTGAGTGATTCTTCACTGGATGAATCAGTTTCATTAGGATTGATGACAAATGGAATACTTTTTTCTTACAATGAGTCTATGCGATTATCCAGATCCCACATCTCTGCTTCGATTCTGATTGTTTCGTGGATACATTTTTCCCAAGCTTTTTGGTCGACTGTTTCTAGAGCAGTGTATAGGTATTTCTTCACTTCACACAGCTTGAAGGTCTCATCATTCTTTGCGATGAATCCTCTTACT